AAGGAGGAGAGACAGAAGTGTGAGAGGATTGTGGGCCGAGTAGCTTCCTTTGACTATGACAGTCGAGGATTGTTGACCCTTCATGGGAGAGTTTGGGTACCGTACTGGGGAGGAGTACGGCAGGTACTGATGGATGAGACCCACAAGTCTTGGTTTTCCATCCACCCAGGGGTGACGGAAATGTACAGAGATCTTCGACCCGACTATTGGTGGCCCTACATGAAGCGGGATGTAGCTTGGTACGTGGAGAGATGCCTGACCTGCAGGAAGGTCAAGGCGGAGCATCAGAGACCCCACGGTAAGATGCAGCCGTTAGACATTCCCGTGTGGAAATGGGAGGATATCACCATGGATTTCATCACTAAGCTTCCCAGGACCGCACGTGGAGTTGATTCGATTTGGGTCATAGTGGATCGGCTGACCAAGAGCGCGCATTTCATACCGATTCAGGAGAGTATATCGGCCGAGAAGCTAGCTGATATTTATGTGCGCGAGGTAGTGGCACGGCATGGAGTGCCTGTCTCGGTGGTGTCAGACCGAGATGTCCGGTTTACTTCCAGATTTTGGAAGCGGTTTCATGACGAGATGGGTACTCGTCTCCATTTCAGCACCGCTTTCCACCCTCAGACGGATGGACAGAGCGAGAGGACGATTCAGACCCTCGAGGACATGCTTCGGGCATGTGTACTAGATTTCGGTGGCAGTTGGGATACGCATCTTCCGTTAGCGGAGTTTTCGTATAACAACAGCTACCACTCCAATATAGACCGACCTCCCTTCGAGATGCTCTACGGGAGGAAGTGCAGGACCCCAATCTGTTGGGGTGAGGTCGGTCAGCGAGTCATGGGGAGTACAGATGTGGTACTCAAGACCACAGAGTTGATCCAGCAGGTCCGTAGCAGACTGCTGACTGCGTAGAGTCGGCAGAAGAGTTACGCCGACAGGAGGCGTTCGGATTTGGAGTTTCAGGTGGGCGATATGGTCCTCCTGAAGGTATCACCCTGGAAGGGTGTTATCAGGTTCCGAAAGAGGGGCAAGTTGGGCCCCAGGTTCATTGGCCCTTTTAGGGTTTTGGCCCGAGTAGGTCGGATCGCCTATCGGTTGGATCTTCCAGCAGAGCTTAACTAGATCCACAACACTTTCCATGTTTCTCAGTTGAGGAAGTGTTTGGTGGAAGAGTCGACGGTTGTACCCTTGGAGGATATTCAGGTTGATAGCAGCCTGAATTATATCGAGAGACCAGTTGCGATCTTGGATCGGAAAACGAAGACTCTAAGGAACAAGGTAGTCCAGCTAGTGAAGGTGCAGTGGCAGCACCGAAAGGGTTCAGAATGGACATGGGAGGCCGAGGAGGAAATGAGGGAGCATTATCCAGAGTTGTTTATAGATCCAGCAGCAGCAGACTTCGAGGACGAAGTCTAAGATAAGTGGGGGAGAGTTGTAACGCCCCATTTCTGGTATGTGATTTAAATAAAGTAATTTTCATTTTCTTAAGGGATACTCGACGAGTCGGTAGCCCAAATCGTCGAGTAGAGACGGGATGTTCACGCATTTTAAGTTGGCTACTCGGCGAGTCCATATGAAAGGACTCGGCGAATCTGCCTGTCTGGATGAAGCCCTAATTTCAAGGGTTTGTACCCTATATAAACGTCATTATAGCCTCCCACCCCAGCCTCCAGCACCTTTAGAGCATTTCCCCTGTAAACCCTAGCCCCCATTGTTGAGCTTGAGTGTGTTTGTGCTAGTTTGGAGGTTTTGGAAGAGAAAGAAAGAAGGAAGGATCCAAAGGAGAAGAAGAAGATCCAGAGTCTCTTGATCATCAGCCTCACATTCTGGTACTAAAGCTTGTACCTTGCTTGTTATTTCCATTTGATAGTCTTGTATGCTTAGATGTGCTTCTTTTTGGGACCTTTTGGATCCAAACTCGAGATTGGGACTCCTATAAGGAAATGGATCATAGATCTGAGTATATTTGAGCTGTAGGAGCTCAAAGTAGCTGCCTTTATGCACCCAAGGTCGAGTTCCAAACCCTAAGACCCCATTGTTAGCTTATTTGATGTCCTAGCCTCATCTCTTCATGCATGCACGTAAAGTTGGAAACGTTACGTGTAAAACCAACCCTAAGAGCCTAGATCTATGATTTGGAAGCATTGAAATCGATTAGAATCGACTGTATAGTAATAGCATGCTTGGGACTCGGCGAGTTGTTCTTCAACTCGGCGAGTTGTTCTTCAGACTCGACGAGTGTTCATACAACTCGGCGAGTTGGATGAAGTTAGACTCGATGTATGTATCGAAGAAGAACTCGTCGAGTCTTCGCCAAACTTGACGAGTAGAAGCGAGTAGAGGACTAGAACGGATGAAAGGGACTCGGCGAGTTGGCGGCCCAACTCGGCGAGTCCGGTCAACTGGAGGTTGACTTTGATCAGGAAGTTGACTTTGACCGGGGGTAAAATAGTCATTTCACCCCCAGTTTAGTTATTAGTATTTGATTGAGTATATTTATGGGAATTGTAGCCGGGGAGATACCGGAGCAGTAGCAGACAGTTCCCGAGTAGCTTTTTTTAGCATCCAGCTTACGAGGTGAGTTTCCTTCAAGTAGGAACGGGTCTACGGCCACAATGCCGACCCGTTTAGTTAGCAGTAGTTCCAGACTTTAGTCTGATGCAGTAGTTCAGTGTGCTTGATGTCTTTGTGATTCAAGCATGTTTTGTGATATGAGTTCCGGACTTCGGTCCGATGCAGTATGTAGTATATGTGTTTATGCCAGTAGTTATGATTATGCTATGCTATGCTCAGTTAGTTCCGGACTTCGGTCCGATGTCGGGCAGGGCCCAAGCTAGTTCCGGACTTCGGTCCGATGCCGGGCGGGGCCCAAGTTAGTTCCGGACTTCGGTCCGATGCCGGGCGGGGCCCAAGCTAGTTCCGGATTTCGGTCCGATGCCCGGCGGGGCCCGATGCAGTGGGCGGGGCCCAGTATTTGCTTACATGTCATTGTATGGTATGTAGTAGTTTGGGGAACTCACTAGGCTTTGTGCTTACAGTTTCAGCTTTTGGTTTCAGGTACTTCCGCAAGTAAGGGGAAGAGCTCGGGACGATGGCATGGCACACACCACAGCTTCAGTTTTATCCTGGGAGTTTTATTCAGATATTTCGATATGATTGATACAGTATTTGTTTTGACACAATTACTTGACTTTTGAGTTACTCACTCTATGGTTCTTAGTATGTATGGCATTGGATGATGTGATTTTAGTAATATTAAAACAAAAATTTTTGGGTCGTATTTTGGGATGTTTCACTCTTAATCACTTAACATCCTAATCAAGTTCCACTAGCTTAAGTCTTGATATCTGTGATGCATATAAACTGAGTGGGTCAGGTTGGAGAAACATGGTGAGATACATTGGGATTTTAATCCCACAATATTGATATGATAATATTACATAATTATCAAACATGCAACACAAACCGTTACCATACAATATCCGTACAAGCTTACATTCCTACATATTTATTCCTACCGATCCTCATAGATCCTAGTCCAAGATTATCAGGTAGAATTATCTCCCCGACAAACCATTTAAGGTAAGGGTTTGACTACACAGCTAGGGGCACCCTTGGCCGGTGTAAGTCTTAAGGCACCCGAGCCTTCAGAGTAATTCGATGAATAGGATATTACCTTTCATCTACATTTATAGGTTATGAGCCTACACTAACAACGTAATTCACAAGATCGCCTAGAATGATCAAGTATTGTCACCTACTCTGTGGGGTAACCAGACATAACGCTAACAGTTGACTGATTAGGACCCACTATTTCTAGTCATCTCGTACGTAGCTACCATACATCGACATCTGATAGTGTCATGGAACAGAACTTTACTCTCCGTTCCTAGGTTACACACATTCTCCTCATGAGGCTACCTAATATCAACTTAATTGAACTAGGTATCTTCCATAAGTCTAAGTTTATCCCAAGACTAGATTATAGTGCCTGAAACCAACTTTTTAATACCAACTCTATTCTTGGGCGACATTAACCTATCTTAGTGTATATATATTCCATAAGAGTATTACATATTATTAATCATTTTTCTTCTCAACAATTTTGCTTTGAATATTATTATGTAATATTATCTATTTATCCTAACATAAAATAGAACCATATCTAGTTCGCACATAGTAAGTTATATATCCTAACATATAATCTAGACAATAAGCACATAATTCACATATGACTTCCATCAGATATTTAATACACTCACTTGACTTAGGTTGGTGACTGGTGATCTGGGATTTTAATTCTATACATGCACATAATTTACGGACGATTCGACTGATTTTTCCTTAATATGAAACTTCTATTATATAGTCTGCAGCGCGTACGACTATAGATTATTTTATTCAAGAATTTTAATTCTAATAATTATTACTTATTATGTGTATCCTGAATTTGTGGGCGTTACAAAAAACATTTTTTTTCTATATAAAAAACTTTTTTTAACATTTTTGTATGGGAAATACTTATTTATAAAAATACTTTTTATTTTAAATACTTATTTATAAAAATATAGCTATATGAAAATGCATGAAATACACTTATGTAGAATATGTTATTATATCAATATATACCTTAAAACTTTTATAAAATAGGTATTTATTAAGTACATAAAAAATAAAATATTTTGTGTGCATATAAATACATAAATATATAGAAATAAGGTTTTATTAAAACCTAATATATACAAATGCATATTTTACTAAAAAATATATACAAAATTACAAACAACGATTTTATAATAAATACATATATATATATATATATATATATATATATATATATATATATATATATATATATATATATATAAAAGTGTTTATAAATAAATAAATAACTTGATATGCAAATACAATTACTAGACTTTTTACTTTGAAAAATAATATTAGTTTTATTAAACTTGATTATAATAAGATACAGAAATCGTATCCGTTTCAAGGCTGAAAGACGTGGTGGTCGTTTGCAGTTTGCAGTTTGCAGAGAGTTTGAGTTGTACCAAAAACCAAACATTCTATTCTCGCGCATTTTGGATTATGCGGACTGTAAACCTTCCAATTCCAATTGCTAATGCTGGTCATCTTCTTCATCAAGCGTCCTATAACAACCACACTTTATCATCACTCTCATCCCCACTCTTTCGCCTCGCCGCCGGTAGCTTTCAGCGCAATGTTCATCATGCTTTATGTTTCCACCCCCGTCCTCTATCCATTTTTTGGATCGTTAGAGCTGACAAACCTCAAAGAATACAATTGGCTCGGGCTACTAAGGATGATCAATTGCCATTGGAGCCTGGAGGTCGGAAAGATTTGGGTGGAGTGGGGGCGGAAGAAGCTACCCTTTTAGGAGAAAACAGTGGCATAATCTCCGCCTGTTTTGTTGGTCTCCTCACTGGCCTCTGTGTCGTTCTCTTCAACAATGCGGTATGCGATTTCCCCTTGCAATTCTTCTAATTTTGCATCAAAATGTCACAATCTGCTAATGAGTAATTTGTATTAGGTGCACGAAATCCGTGATATTTGCTGGGACGGAATCCCATCTCGAGGTGCTTCATGGTTAAGAGAGTTGCCACATGAGAAAATGTGGATGCGAGTTATCTTGATACCCACTTGTGGAGGATTAATCGTTAGCTTATTGAACATTTTTCAAAGCTCTTTTTTAGATGAAGGAGATTCAGCAGATAGGTTAAAAGCTGTTATGAAACCGATACTGAAAGGGGTAGCAGCTGCTGTAACACTTGGAACTGGGAATTCTCTTGGCCCTGAAGGTCCAAGTGTCGAGATTGGCGCATCAGTTGCTAAAGGAATCGGTTCATTGTTTGATAAAAATGCTCAAAGAAAACTTTCTCTTAAAGCTGCAGGATCAGCTGCTGGAATTTCATCTGGTTAATTCTACTTTCTTTTCTTCTGTGAGATGTAATTGCCAATATCGATCATGTTCATGTTCTCTATTAATTACTTACACAAGAACATGTTTTCTTGTTGATTTGTGGTATTTGATTTCAGGGTTCAATGCTGCTGTTGCTGGATGCTTTTTTGCTGTTGAATCAGTGTTATGGCCATCACCTGCTGAGTCATCATTATCACTAACAAATACAACATCAACAGTTATTCTCAGTGCTGTGATAGCCTCTGTAGTATCAGAAATCGGCCTTGGATCTGAACCTGCCTTCACTGTTCCAGATTATGATTTCCGTTCAGCAACCGGTATTTGTTCAAAATTACAATTTTACCCTTCTAGGTAATCCCTATTCTAACATCTTCTTCAACCTTTTTGTTTCAGAACTTCCATTATACCTTCTATTAGGTATCTTTTGTGGGCTTGTTTCTTTAAGCTTTTCTTCATGCACATCATGGATGATGATGACAACAAACAAGATTCAAAACACCTTCTTCATACCAAAACCAGTATTCCCAATTATTGGTGGCTTTACAGTTGGGCTCATAGCCTTGTTGTATCCAGAAATTCTATATTGGGGTTTTGAAAATGTTGATACCCTTTTAGAGACACGACCCTTTGTGAAAGGTCTATCAGTTGATCTTTTATTGCAACTAATAGCAGTTAAAATAATAGCAACATCATTTTGTAGAGCATGTGGATTAGTAGGAGGCTATTATGCTCCATCACTTTTCATTGGTGCAGCTACTGGAATGGCATATGGGAAAATATTCGGTTCTTTCATTCCTCAGTTTAACTCAATCTTTCATATATCAGGCATGGAGGTTGCATCACCACAAGCATATGGCCTTGTAATATTCATTACTTTGATAGTTTTATTACTACACAAAAAGATAATAATAATAATAATGAGAATAATAATAGGGAAAATTTTGTAGGTTGGGATGGCTGCTACACTTGCAGGGGTGTGTCAAGTGCCTCTGACTTCAGTTTTGCTTTTATTTGAGCTTACACATGATTATCGAATAGTGTTGCCACTTTTGGGAGCTGTAGGATTGTCTTCATGGATAACATCAAGGTCTTTAAAGAAAAAGGATGATGATTTCTCAAAAAAGAAAGAGAATGAAAACAATAATAAGTTTGAGACAAAAGAGCTTCTTGTATCAGAAGCCATGAGAAGAGAGTATGTGAGTGTGGTAATGAGCACCATGTTAATGGAAGTAGTAGCTTTGATGCTTGCAAATAACCAATCTTGTGTTCTCATAGTTGATGATGAAAATCTCTTGATAGGTTTACTCACTCTTGGAGACATACAAGACTTTTGTAAATTATCACAACAAACTAACAAAATACCTCAGGAATTGATAGTGTCTGAACTATGTTCACTGAAGAATGACATGTGTACATTCCCATATACTGTAACACCTGAGATGAGTCTATACTCAGCTGAAGTGATTATGAATATGCATGGTGTAACTCACTTGCCAGTTATTTCAGAAGAACAGAAAGCCTTCCCAGTTGGAATCTTAGATAGAGAATCTATCAGTTTAGCTTGCAGGTTTCCCAAAAATTTTCATCTCATGTGATTATTGTCAAAAAAAAAAAAGTAAAAGATTCATATAAATTGTCATTCTACATGGTGTAGGGCTTTGGAAACAAGAGAACACCTTGTCTGGTTTTCCACACTCAACAACCCCACAACTTGATTCAGACAGAGGTATGTGGTGTACTAGTATTACAGTATTGTACTATTAATATAGTACAATACTGTAATGCTAGAAGTACTAGTAGTACACTACTGTATTACTAGTACTGTAATACTAGCCGTGAAGTATTGTACTAGTATAGTACTGTACTATAGTACAATACTTTATAGTTTACTAGTAGAGTACTGATACTCATGATAATGGGACAAATGTTGCAATAAAAATGTGGTACAAGGACATTAAAGGACATGACAGGTTATACTATGTTAATGGAACAAAAAAAAAATTTATCATCGAAAATAGCCCTATAAAGCTGACTCTACAATTGTGTTTGGTATTTTATGTATTCTTCTATTGGTTTTTTGCAATAATGAATTTTTTTTGGTGTACAAATGTAACTTTTAGGGGCATGCCAATGTGAGGAAACTTGAAGGGGAAAATGAAAGATGTTAATAGAGAAATTGGTTGGGTGTAGTTTTTTACAACATTCAAGTTGTCGTGTTTATCCAAAAGAAATTGTATAAAGAAAAAGTTGGGTTGTGAGGACAATTCAAAGATATGCTTAAAAAACTAGAAATCGAAAAATATACAAAGATTAGATTAGAAAAGTTAAGAGATCAAGGGATAAGGTATGCCCATTCTTGGTGTATGTGTATGTATAGCATTTGTTATTGTTTCAAATGTGGTAAAGGAATAAGAATACTCTCAAGTTGTTTTAGATAATTAAGCAGAGACATGATGGTGATGTGTTCCAATATTTATTATGAAATTTTGATAAATGTGAATTCACACGTTTTATATATGAATTATGAACTTGAATATTTGCTATGCGTGTGTAATTAAGTTGACATGTTTAGTGGGAATACGTGTCATAATCTCCTAGGTTCATCATTATTCGGATAAAACCAAATTATTCAATTGGATAATTTGAATTGGGCTATATGGTTTATATGTTTCGATTTTTGTATTGGTTTGATTGTTATTAGTTAGAACCGAATAGACAAAAAAATGAATACATTTATTTCATTAATATATATTTGTAACTGTTTATTAATTTACAGAGAGTTTCCAATGCTTTTATTTTGTCCTAGTTGATTTTGATTCGACATTAGAAGTATATTGATTTTCCCCAATAATTGAATATTATTGTCTAGACTAAACTGCAAATTTGGTCCCTAAAATCCAAAAAGATTTCAACTTGTACCATCAGTTCAAAATCAAATCTTTTTTTTTTGGATAAGGTCCCTATTAAATATAAAAAGACTTTTTTACCTTTTTTATTTCTTTTTTGCTTTTGTTTCTTTGTATTTAAATACTAAAAAATGTTTTAATTAATTAGAAATAAAATCTGAACCCCCCCCCCCCCCTCTCTTCTCTCTCTCTCTCTCATACTCGCACACATACAACTCGTCTTCTCCAAACGACCCCTTGTGAACAAAAACCAGAATCAAAACCATAGAAACCCCACTTCTTCTTCTTCTTCTTCTTTTTTAAGTAGGTTTACAAATCCAAATCTTGAAACCCATTTAACCCAAGAAAAAAAATGCTTTAAATACATCCCGTAAACAGATTCCAGAGAAAGAGAAGAGAAAGAGAAGTCACCCACTGGTGCTCGATGATCAAAACACAACCATCACATACTTTGACTCTGTCAACAACACATTTTTCTCCCAAATCAAGATGGGGTTTTCCTGCACCAAGGTTCTTCATCAGGTTCATCAACTCAGGGAAACCCTTTAATTTCAAAATTGATCCAAAGAAGCCCATTGATTTAAGAATCAAAACACTTCTTAAATGAACGATTTTTTGAAATGATTTTGACTTGGCCTCTGGCCAGTACGCACCTGAATCGAAAGACTCTTTGTTTTCTTTCTCACCTATATCAATGATTTGGAGGTGCTTCACAACTTCGATTTTGATTTTTCTAGGTTTTGCGTTTTCTGGGTTTTGGGGTCTTGAAAGCTTTGATAAACATACAATCAAAGATTAGATTTAGTTCAAAGTTGGGATTAATTCTTTTAAGTTTTCTATTATTTATTTGAACTTTTATTAGCTGGTTGGATTAAAGGGTGTAACAACTTCACAGGTTCAAGGTTGGGTTTTTGAGTTTAGTTCAAAGCACTATTTCACAATTTCGATTTGCAAGTGTCTGTGTTTATCATTGTGTGTGTATGTTGAAGAAGATGAACACAAAAAACGGATTCGGTGTCGGTGGTCAGAGAATACGAAAGCGACCCAGATTTATTCCAGCTTCATTTTATGTTGATGTTCATCCTCAACCTCCATCTTTGTCAATATCCAGAATTCATCTTCGATTTTTTCCTCGAAGATTTTGATTTTTTCCAGCTTCGATTAGGATTAGATCACTATTTGGTTTGGATTTTTTAGTTCAATATTGATTTAGTAATTATTTTTGGAGTTAGAATCTGTTCTTTTTTCTTTTTCTTTTCTTCATGGTTTGGAGTTTGCTCATGGCATCGTATAGGAGAGAGAGAGAGAGGGAGGTGGGTGGTCAATTTTTATTTCTACTTAATTAAAACATTTTTAATTATTTAAATAAATAGAAACAAAAGCAAAAAAGAAACAAAAAGGGTAAAACAGTCTTTTTCAATGTTTAAAAGGGACCTTATCCAAAAAAAAAGATTTGATTTTGGACTAATGGTGCAATTTGAAATCTTTTTGGACTTTATCCAATTTTTTTTTCAATTTTTTTTTTGATAACCACAGGAACCAAATTTGCATTTTAGTCTAGTCTATAAGTACTTTTAAATTATATGTAAGTCTTGTCCAATTCCCTATTAAAAAGTCTTTAATAAATTTTTAGAGTTCACTATGATCGTATGGGATTAAATAGTTTGTGGATTTGAACTTTCACAATTAAAGAAAAAGCTTATCCAAGACAACCATCAGAGCTGTGAAAAAGAAAAAGCTTATCATATATTGTGGAAGCTTTTTCAAATAGAACTTTTTCTTAAAGAATTATAAATTTACAAGCTCTCTCCTAAAGCCTTTTCAATCATTTTGGTGGAGGCGTTCTTCAAACAACTCTTACATAGCCAACTTATATAAACAATAAAACTATATCAAATCAAAATTATGGTTCCATAAATAAGTTAATGTGAAAAAACTCTGTGAAGATTTCTTAAGCTTTTAGATTGATTAATTTGAGATTAGGTGTCATGAAATAGCTTAGAAAATAAGTTTTGCTGTTGTGGATTCATTTACAAAAGAACTTGGCCAAATAATAACTATGTGGTTACCGAAGATTTAAGAGAATGATCCAATATTTTCATATTTAGCCAAATAACAACTATGTCTCAAATTTTGCATTTTCGATTAAACAAATTTAGTATTGGACTAGCTTTATGTCAAATAAATATACAATTTTAATAAAATAAATAAAAATAAAAAGCCATTTGGAGCTCATATGTCGGATTTCAAACAAACGATGACAAAGTAAAAATGCATATCGACCTATTGATGACAAAGTGAAAATGCATATCGAATTTTTAAGAACATGCCCGAAATCCAATAACGATTTTGAAAATTTCAAAAGGATGTCTTAAATCCGAAATTTCAAGAAAGTAATTCGTTATTTACTAAATCTAACAAAAAATATTAAAGAATCATACCAAAAGTGAAGCAGAATACAATATAACTGCATAAAAATGTCATTTAATTAAAAATCCGATAATAACAAACATTTCATATCTAAAGGGGTAAAGAAAAAACAAATTACAAGTTTTTAGGTGTAAATGAGAGAAAAATCAATATATATCATCCAAAATCTGAAGATGCCTGATTGAAATTGATGGTCTTTTTAATAACAAATAACAATTTATATTAATTTTTCATAATAATATGGTAATTTTTGTCATTATCACTACATAATAACTTTTTTCATATAATGAATAATACTTAGAATTTTCGAAATTAATTTATGGATTATCATCAGTCATCACTACAAAAAAAAAATATGTATAATTATTTAACAAAGCAAACGAATTTTGGAAAAATATCATTTTAGGGTTTAGGATAAAATGACTATTTTATGACAAAGATAAAAGAGATATTCTATTTTGGTCATTTCTTGATCATCCTCATAAAAATTGTTACTCAAATTTGCAAAAAGCCGGTAGCTTGGGGTTTATGACTTTATGTTAACTTAACCATAATAGGGCAAGAGATTTGTCACTCCCAAATCCCAATCCCTACTGACAGGTGTCGCCGACGAATTTCCTGCTCGAGTCACCGGACGTCCGTTCTACTCATCCGGGAGGTGATTACACTTCTTTCTCGATTCCTCAAATCGTATACGTCATTATTTGATATGATACTTCTGTAAAAGGTGTTCAATGTTGCCTTTTGGTTTCAATTTTCCACAATATGTTCATCCGAAACCCTACTGTGAAACATTTATCGTTGTGTTGAAGTCGATAGCTGCTTCTTTGTATTTTCAGGAGAGAAGCAAAGGAGAAGATACCAGAGACGATGCTTTTCGTGTATCGTGTTTGTTTCCTTTGTTTTTCTCTGGACCGAGTGAATCAGATTGCATATGAGAGAGAGATGGAATTAGATCGAGAACAAAAAGAGAAAAGGGTTTTTGTCGAATTAATAAATTCTTAAAAAGGTTTTTCTCTATTCCAGGCTTCATCCTGCATCCGGATTCCGGCGATCGACAGATGAGTATACGGAGGGGTCTTGGGAGTGATGGTGATCAGCATGTTATTGATTATCTGAAGCGAATGCAAACAGAGAATCCAAGTTTCTTCTATGCAATTCAATGCGATGGTGAGCAATCTAATCGGAATATCTTTTGGGTTGATTCATCGTTCAGGATGAATTACAGTTATTTTGGTGATACTGTTAGATTAAACACGTCATACGTAGCCCATCAGTTTAGGGTTCCATTGATCTCCATAACTGGGCTCAATCACCATGGTCAACCAGTTCTATTCGGCTGTGGATTGCTTCATTATGAATCCGATTCTTCTTACATTTGGCTACTCCAAAATTGGCTCCATGCAATGTCAGAAAACCACCCTGTCTCCATCACAACCGAACCCAATCATCACATTCAGATGGCTGTTTCACAGGTTTTGCCCCAAACCCATCATCGATTCTGTAAATGGAGCATATTTAGAGAAACCCAACAGAAACTCTCTCATATTTATCAAACACGACCTTCATTTGATAAAGATTTTGGGAATTGCATTCATGAAACAGAGAAAGTAGAAGAGTTTGAATCTTGTTGGCAATCTCTTCTTAAAAAATACTCCCTGATAAACAACGAATGGCTTCAATCAATCTACAATGCACGTCATCAATGGGTTCCTGTTTACCTCCAAGACACATTTTTTGGAGAATTATACACAAAAATCCCCGAACAAACCCTAAATTTGTTCTTCGATGGTTACATGGATGCCACAACTTCAATCCAATCTGTAATCAAACAATACGAAGCTGCAATATCATATTGGAATGAGATGGAATTGAAGGCAGATTTTGAAACAACAAACACAATGCCACTTCTTAAAACCCCATCTCCCATGGAAAAACAAGCTGCCAATCTTTACACCAGAAGGGCATTTTTGAAATTTCAAGAGGAACTAGTCGAGACCCTTGCAAACCCTGCAACTAAGCTTGAAGATAATGGAGCTTTCACAACATTTCAAGTGGCAAAGTTTGGGGAAGAACAGAAACATCAGAAAGGGTATATTGTGAGGTTTAATTCATTTGAAATGAAAGCTAATTGCAGTTGCCATATGTTTGAGTTTTTAGGGATTATTTGTCGACATGTTTTATCGGTTTTTAGAGCGAAAAATGTTCTTACACTTCCTTCTCAGTATATTTTGAAGAGGTGGACAAGGGATGCTAAGAGAGGTGGTGAAATTGTAGTATATGGTCAAGAATCACCAAATGATTCTTGTGGTAATTCTTTGAATGCAAGATATAATAGTTTAAGGCATGAAGCTATAAAATATGTTGAAGAAGGAGCTAAGTCTATATCTGTTTATAATGTGGCATTGGAAGCTTTACAAGTAGCTTCAAAGAAAGTTTCTGCTTCAAAGAGACAAAGTGTGATGATGAACAATGGTGTGGTGTTAAATGGAGAGATGGATCTTGGTAATGGAAGTCAAGAAATTGCGTATCGATCTAGAGTAAGTAACTTGTTTCTTGTAGTTACAATTTTTATTTTGTATTGAGTAAAAAAGAATCATGTAGCTTAACAGATTAACTCATGTATCCATTAAGTGTGTTTTGGTGTTTTTAGGGTGAGAAGGAAAAGAAAATTCGGGAATTGAGTGCTGAGCTGGAGGATACAAATAAAAAATGTGAAGTATATCGTGCGAATCTATTGGCTGTTTTGAAAGATATGGAGGAACAGAAGCTGAAGCTCTCAGTTAAAGTGCAGAATGCAAGGCTAAGCTTAAAAGAATGAGTTGCTTTCATCAGTTTTTGGCCAAAAGCATGTTTGCATTGATCTTTTTAACCTCCACCAAAAGTGAAACCCATGTACATCAAATCAAGCCACATATTAGTTGAAATATTTGTTGCAATAAAGAAATTCAGAAGGAAATCTTGTTTTTGATCAATTGCCTTTCTTTCTTTGCCATAAGAATATCTTCTTTCGATCAAGGGACGTGAAACTAGATTACTGAAGAAAGTGAAAAGAAAAAATTGGATTGGGGTTTAGGGTTTAGGGTTTATATTTTGCTTGATATGATAGTTGGGTAGCACGAGCAACTGTTTGATTTATTGTGATTCCAATTAATAGCTTCAAATAAACTCTTGTGCGATAAACATGTATGTTCTTGTTTGATGACATGACACAACCTCCTACTAAAAACTTTAAACTAAAAACCGATACAAAATGAGCATACATGTGGATAATGAAAAACCATAAGACTTGCTTATCTCATGCGTGCCAATAAAAAAATCATGGAAGTATGGGACTTAACTGATAAAATAACATTATTGGATGCAAATGAGTTTTCAATAAGAAAACTAAGATGAATGGAAAGGGACGGCTTGTAACCGAGGGATTTATAAAGGCGCAGTGGTATTGACCATGAAGAAACTTTTTCACTTGTTGCTATATTTATATTTTTATTTGACATATCTGCTTTATATGGCTATGAATATGACAAATGGATGTCAAAACAGTCTTACTTAGGGAACTAATTAGAGGATATGTACATAACACAACTTGATTGTTTTTTTTTTTTTCAATCCAAAGAATCCTAACAAAATATATAAGCTTTAAAAACAGGTTTAAGCAAGCTTCTTAGAGTTGGAATCTTCTATTTGGTGAGAAGAAAAAAGAGTTTGGGTTTCACAAAAATGGATAAGCCATTTGGATACAAGAAGTTTAGTGGGAGAATTGTATTCCCTTATATTGTATGTGGACAACATATTTACTCATCGAAAAAAAACATCACAGCCTTGCAGAAAGTCAAGTATTGTCTAGGAAGATGTTTCTCTATGAAATATGTAGGAGAATATTGCATTAAGATTAAGATACATAGAAATAGGTCAAAATGAGTAATTGGACTTGGTTAAAGTATGTAGATAGATAAAATCTTGAAACGGTTTTCAATGAATAAATACATGTGAGGACAATAAATGATGAATGTACCGATGTACCCGAGTATGATGTCCTAATTTTTGTGGTCATGTTGAGACTCGAGTTGTGAGATGGCAAGTGGAGTACCGAGTGACTATTGTTCCAGTGGGAACCCATCAGTTAATTGTTCAAACACAAAACATATATTTATTTTTATAACCTTTATTTACGGTATTTTTAACTTGTTTATTTTATTTACTTTATATATTACACTAATTATTCAAACACAAAACATATATTTATTTTTATAAATAAAATAGTTAAATATATGGTATTTCGGGCCCCTGAATCCGAAAACATTGTAAAAATACACTATGTACATATGCATATCATAGGAACAAGATTTCTATCTTAGTGGGAGTAGTATCATTTGATTGATAAAATCCAAATTGTAACATGAAGATGATGACATATGTTTTGATTTAAAAAGTTAAATGAATGTATAAATTCCATACGAGTTAAATGCATGTATGAATAGCCTTAATTTGTCATAGGAATCACAAAGGAGTTTGAAAGGTATTGTGAAACATTGTTTGATATCCCAAGAGATGGACATGCAAATCACTTCCCATCTCATTTTCTTCTATGTTTATTATCTCAACTGTCACATATTGCATAAGAAAACAAAAGAAAAAGAATTGAGATGGGAAGGCTGAAAATGGATGGAATAATAATAATGATAAGGAAACTATACATATATGTTGGGCATGGGCATGGGCATCATCAAAGAATACTCTTTCAGCCAAGAAAACAGCTACAGCTATAGCGCTATAATAAGAGAAAAAGAAGAAACTTTACTTTGTTTTGTTTACTTACAAGCAATCTTTCATACTATACTTTATGATCTGGACCTTAAGTGATAGCTGTTGTTTATGGTCTTCAATGTCTCTCAAAACTGAAACCAAGTTGCTCCTATAAACTTCACACTTTCTCCTACCTGAATCCACCTCTTGCTTAAGTTCTTCAATCTTCCTATCCATCTCATCCTACACAACAAACAATCATAACTTACTAATCTTAATTATCCCAATACCATCAATTTTTACACCCTTTCCACTCTACGAGGACAAAGGCCATTCATGTCTTTTGCACAAACTAGAGACCAGGCCATGGCTTTTTTCTACTTTTTGTTCCACCATCTTTCGTCTATGTATGCAAAAAGACATGAATGCCCTTCTCATCCTCATTGTAAAAAAAAAGACCTAGAAAGATTCTACACCATCTGTCTTTTTAACCCATTTTTCAAAAATCTATCCATTTGACCCTTTATCGACAAACAAAAACCCACATTGACCCATTTTCACACATGTCCACTTTAATATCCAGCAGAAATTAATGCAAAATAAAGATTTTTCCACCAGATTGGTGTGCTGAGTTAAAACAAAAAGAAGAGTAAAGAAGTAAACTTGTTTGCAGTATCATAAGATTTGTAATACAAAAGGCTATAAAGAAACTAACCTCTGATAAATTCTGATCCAAATGTCCACAATGATTACCAATATCCATTTTTGTCAGTGTCCCATTGCTTCTAGAATCTTCCCTGCTACGCCCATTAACCATAAAACCTGTTCCTTCATTTTTTGCTGACATGGCAACTTTCCTTGCAGCCTCTTCCAAAGCAACCATGGCCACATTATAAGTATCAACAGATTCAGCCCCTTCTTCCACAAATTTAAAAGCTTCATGCCGAAGGGTATTATACCTCACAGTATGTGACTCCAAATAACCAGAAAACGCATCATTACCTCTTTCTTCAAGTATCACACTACTCTTTGCATTTATTGTCCATCTTTTCAAAATATAACATGAAGGAAGTGTAAGAACATTTGTCACTCTAAAAACAGCCAAAACATGTCTGCATAAAAGACCCGAAAATTCAAACATACAGCAACTACAAGTAGCTCTCATTTCAAGAACATTGAAGTTGACACTGTAAGATTTGTTGTCTTCACCATATTTTGAAACTTGATATGTTGTCACCTCACCGTTGTCTTCTACTTTGGATGCCATTAAAGTAAGTGTCCCGATTAATTCCTCTTGAAATCTCATGAAGATTTTTCTTGTGTAGAGTTCGGATGCGTGTTTTTCCATGGGAGATGGAGTTCTTAAAAGAGGGAGGGAGTTCATTGTGTCATAATCCGCTTTCACTTCCTTCTCATTTCGGCTTTCCAATGCTTTTTCATATAACTTTATGAATTGATTTAGAGTTGTTGATGCGTTTATATACCCATCAAAATAAGAATTCATGCTATCACTTCTTTGGGTTATAGACATTTCTGCAAAGAAAGTGTCACGTAAATAGACAGGAACCCATTGTTTACGTGAGGTGTAGATTGCTTGAAGCCAATCGTGATCACTAAGATCATATTTATCAACAAGTGACAACCAACAAGCTTCAAACTCATCAACTGAATCGGTTAAATTCACGGATTTATGGAAATCCGCTTCGAAATTTGGGTATTTGAGGAACACGTGAGATAACTTTTCCTGGCATTTCTTGAAGATGTGCCATTTGCAGAAACGGTGACGAGTGTCAGGAAAAACTTGCATGATGGCTGATCGAATGACTGTATCATGATCTGTGGTGATTGATATTGGGAGGCGGGAGGACATGGCTGAAACCCATGTTTTGAAAAGCCAAACGAATGAGGATTCGGATTCGTTTATGAGAAAAGCACAACCGAATAACACGGGTTGACCATGATGATTGATTCCAGTGAAAGGTGCAAAGGGTAAACGATACCTGTTTGATCTGTAGGTGGTGTCAAATGTGACTGTATCCCCAAAGTGAGTGTAGTTGGATCTTGCTTTTGTGTCAGCCCAGAAGAGATTACCTGTTGACTGTTCTTCACCCCCCTGGACAGCATAGAAGAATGATGGATTTTCTGCTTGCATTTGCTTGAGATAATCAAGGAGAAGTTGTATGTCTCCTTCTAAACTTCTTTGCCTGTTGTTCCTCATGTAGTTTCTACAATCTACCTCTGTGAATCCGACTTTACTGATGCCACCATACTCTTTGATCAAGGCTGACATGATTCTCCGGGGACCCATTCCAGCAGCCTGAAGAGTATCAATCAGAGTTTTAGCAGGACCAGAGATTTGGCGATGAGATCTCAGGCAGTGGACTTGGTCTGGTGGAACTAATTCATGGTTATGCTCTTTGACAAACGTTGACACAATCCATTTCCCTGAATCCTGAATCTTCACAGACATTGATGCTTTGCAACCTACTCTGGTGACAGTTCTAGGTCGTTTGATTTCTCTATCTTTGGTTCGTTTCTCATTTAGGTTGCGAAATCCTTCTTTTGCACAAACAAAGGATCTCTGTATGATGGCTCCATCTTTCCTGGACCTACGGGAGGAGCTAACACGGGTGCTGAACCCTACACGACGAGCATATGAGTTATAGAAACCCTTGGCAGCTTCTTCAGATTCGAATTCCATCCCCTCAAAAGGCTCGAGATCCAGGTCGCGTTGAGGAACGTAAGTTGAAGTATCGAAGAAGAGACTCCCACTGCTGGTTCCGACCATGGCGGCGGTGGGAGAATCATCAGTCATCTCTTCATCGTCGATAATTGCTACTGAATCATCTCCACCGCCTCCTAGTCCTATGTCGAATTCGATCACCTCGTTTTCCATGTCCAATTCCAATCCAGGTCCAATTCGAAACGGATGAAGCTTGAATGACGTAATATAAGTATTTCAGTAGTAATTGAGGTCTTCGAATGAGAATTTGTAGTCTATGTCAAAGCATAAACAATAAAAGTCATGACATAAACCAAGGTTCCATGAGAGGATCAAGTTGGAGGAGCGAACAAGGGAATAACTTACCAGCATCATGGATACGCTGCATTGAACAGCTTCATGTGCCTGACTATTATAAATACATGTATAGAAAAAGCTGGGATTGAACAATAACAAGGAGGAATTGGAGAGCTTTGTTCCAGTATTAGGGTTTCTTATAATATGATTAGATGAAACAGAACACGTTCGATTAGTATTGAGTATTGCTATTAACAAGCAGGTCTAAAAATATGAGAGGGGAAACGAAGAGTGGAATCGCATTTGGAATCGGTGGTTGCGGATCTCCTCCTCTTCTTCCTTGTTTCTGGCTTTCTGCTCCTCCTGCGTTTTTACTCTTGAGGTTCGTAGCTTGAGGATCTATTTTGGCTTTAAATTTTTCACTTTCTTGTTTTCCCAAAAGGAAAGAAAGAAACAAAATATATGTTTTTACTTTTTGGAAAATGAAGTATTGAACCTTTTTTACATATTATTTAGTTCATAAAGTTTCAACTAGTTACTAGTTTCTTCAACTAAAAATATATATTCTTTTAGTAACTCATAAATTGTCTTAAAACTTCACTATTGATATAAAATAGGTAAAATATTGACCATTATTCGGGCGTCTCACATCGAACTCGTCTTAAGACATTTAGGCACTATTAATATTTTAAACATGTTAAACTGTGATCCCGATGTTTGAAAATTCTTAATTCAATCGTTTAGATTTTATCTCACCGGTTACAAACGTAAGATCATGAGTTATATTCAGTTACTCGTCTCGCCATCTCCCTCTACCTCACCACAATCTCCTGAAATCTTCATCATCTTCTCCTTCCACACAAACAACGTGGTCCGTTGTGCCACATACAACGATCCATCACGATCATTGCACAACAGGAGAAGGGTGGCGGTGTGCACAGTCATGGTGGCCTTGCCACTTGGCCACGGAGCCCTCTCGTGTTTGTTATACCTAAGGGCCTGAGTAAGTAGCACATATGTGTATGTTATAATCAAAATAGAATGGGTCGCAAATATAAAGTTGCAAAACATTTAGCAACTCGATTAATGAAGAAGTAATATATTGTTTCATCTTAGGAAAGAATCAAAACTATTATTTGTAAGGAAAGCAAGTTAGAACTTACACCTCATAGATAATCGGGAATCTTGAAAATATTAAGGGTTTTCCTAATTGTTTGGTAAGTGATGTTTTCTTTTAAAAGACTTTAATTTTAATTAAGGATATATTTGGTATATCAAAGTTAACTTATAAGCTATCTTTTTAAAAAAGGTTATTGACATGAAAAGCACGATAAAGTTTTTGGTTTAGTTTTAAAAGGTTCTTAAAGTTTTTTTTGTATCTTTTTGACTAATAAAACATCAATTTTTTTATTAATTAGAAACGCTAGCCTTTCAAGTACAAAATGTTTTTCAGTTATCTGCTAGCTTTTCTGATAGTCAACCAAATATAGCCTAAACATTTTTGCAAGTGATGTTAGTAGTAGTTTTGATTATGTTTTTTCTTGTGATTATAGAATCAACGTCCAGTGGACCAATAATGATATTGTCTTCACACATTAGCTATCAATAACACAACTATCTCACAAATTTACCATTAGCAAGTTGTTTGTATTGATGAATGAAAAGAATGAGCATATGCCATACCATACCCTACAATACAAATACAAAATACAACACTCACACTACAGTCCCAAAAATGGAGCACAAGATAAACAAATCATGTCATAACCAAAACTACACCACTACCCTACAAATACATATATATATTTTTAATGTATAATATATATAATTACAGAAAAAAAAAAAACATGTCACGATTTCATTATTATTATCGGGCCTATACATCTCTGAAACAACTCACTCAAAACCATCTGTACTTCACGCGAGCTATGCTCACACCTCACTAACTCCACCATCAAAGGAAAAACCCGAGCCGCATACTTTCTAAAAATATCATTCTCCACTTCAGTCAAAACCCTCAAAGCCGACACAAGCAACCCTGTTCTCGCACCTAACTCTTCCTTCACTGCTGAATTCAATGGAAGTATCCAATGAACATGTTCTTGTTGTTTTTCTAATTTAGAACAGTTTAAGTATATTTTTATGATTTGTTCGCACGTTGAAAACAACTGAGGTTCGATCTCCATTTCGGAAGATAGATCCGGGTCGGTTGCTAGTAAGTGGTGGAGGAGGTTGAGCATGTTTTGGTATGATTCGTTTTCGAAATGGATCACGGGCGGGTCGGATAGTTCGAGAATGGAGCATGCTTTTTGGAGTTTTTTGTGGAGATTTGTTTCGGAGGATAGTTGTTGTGAGTGGGATACAGTTTGTAAGAATATTTCCAACACGATTTTCACACTTGATGCTTTTAGTAAATGTTGGTGCATGTTGTAGAGATCCGTTGTCACCTGTTATTTTGTTAATAATAAGAATATTTTTGAAAGTGCAATGCTAATAAGTAATAAGTAATAACTACCTGCATGATAAGTAGCTGAGTTGATATATGTGTTTTCATTCGTGAAACAACGTATCCAGCAGTCTGCAAGTTATCATCTTCATAATCTTGAATTGAATTTGAACCATTTCCATTGAGCATCTCAGCATCATCGTAGATTTGGCCAACATTTGGTGGCATCTCAATCCGATCCATAACCCTAACAAGTTTGAAAAACCCAGGCAACATGGAACCCGAGGTATCTTTCAAAGCAAGAAAAATAGAAGCCCATTCGTCTTCAGTCAACAGCCCACCCAACTCACCCACGAGTCTCATTAACCCGGTTACTCCAGTGCTAGCAGAACCTTGACCCGGGGTTTTCAAGAATCCTGCTAGTAGCGATATAACCGAGGATAAATGGGCCCCACGCATTATCGGGAAAAAGTTTATGAATAAATCGATTAAACATCGAGTTGCTACAGAGCAAGTTTCCGAATCCCATGTCTTGTTTTGTTGATTTTCTTTTTTTTCATTTACGTGTTTGAAAATGGGAAAAACTACAGTGTTGATGACTGTGATCCAGAATGATCGGGAGAAGAGATGTCCATGGTCTTTTAGGATGTTGAAAAGAACTTCTAATGCGCTTTTTCTGATTGCTAATCTTGGGTCCGATGTTAATGAAGATAACCCTGAAAGTAATGATAAGAAAAGTATCATGTTTAGAGGATTAGGAAAGTAAGTTAGTTAGTTAGTTAGTTACCACTGAGCAAAGGGATCCAATAGGATGCATGTTCGTCTTTCTCCATGGGAGTTTGTCCATCGGTTTCAGCAGTTTCTTTAACCACTTGAATGCTTGAAGTTGAATCATCATCAACAGGAACAGTTTCTTGATTGCAGATAAGTCCTCCTTCTGCAAGTTTCACAGCACAGAATCGAAGAAAAGCAATGGCGTTGAGGCTTACATCACTGTTGAATCTGCTGTTAGTGAAGGTGATGAGGCATCTCACACAATCAGTGAAAGTTGCAGTTTCGGTTTCGGTTATGTAAGGAAAATATTCGCGTACTATTTTCTCCATTGTCTCAAATGCCAACAACACAATGTTCTTCCTTTCATCAGCTCCAGCTGCTGTTAATGCCTATATAATCACATATATATTTCAAATAAACTTTCACTTTTTCAGTTTTTCCAAAGTTAGTTTTGTAAATTTGACTTTGACTTACCATGAAAACGCTTTTCCACCCGGATTTTACGTTATCAACCCTGCTGAGGATCATTTGTGAGAGGCAACGAACAATGAGTTCTCTGATTTCAACAGAGTTGCTTTTCTGCATGACAATGACAAAAGGCCTTAAAAACTCATTCTGAAAGTTGTAATTTGCCAATTCTTCGCGTTCAAGAAATTTCATGGAAAGTTGGCGTAAGGAATCCATGACAAAAATGGCAACTGAAAGGTTTTCTGATAAACCAACTGAAACAAAGAAGTCTGAAAGCACGCTCCATATGCGAGACCACACTAATCTGATTCGGTTCATGTTGTAGTGCCTGAAAAAAATCCAAATCATAAGGTGTGAAATTACTTATTTAGACATTGAAAAGAAAAAAAGAAAAGGAGAAGGATAGGATCTTACGCAACTTCAACTATTTTAGTGAGACTGAACACCCGCGGATCTGTAACAGACTGCAACTCTGTCATGGAAACTTTACAAAGAGCTTTCACAAAAGCTACAATAGCTTCACTATCTAGTCTCTGGCTATGAGCAAAGATGTGATTAAGCTCGAAATTCCCAATTTGTTCAAGAAGGTTTAAGTTGGAAATGAAGTTGTTGATTTGATCTGGGGTTACTAATCCTGATGTGTGATTATTGGAAGAAGTGCTATCATAAGAACTGCCTCGAACAACAGCCATTACAACTGGATTTTGAAGGGTTCCTTTCTTTTTTAAGGATGTGAAATTGGACTTTACAGATTTCTCTTCTGTTTCAATGTTTGATCCACTTAAAAAAGATGCATCAGATGGAGCACCTTCTCCTAATAGCTGTAAATGCTCGAATCTAGATAGACATGTCAATATGTGTTCCCATGAATCTTGAAGATAGTTCCCGTCTTCTATCGCAATTGCTATTATTGTCTACAAATATTTTTTTTAAAATTTAAAAAGTCAGTTTAAAGATTTTTGGAAAATAAGAAAAAAGAAAGGGAATACCGAATAGGCGAATACCTTGACAGCATCGACATTTTTTTGCTTCATATCTGCAGCACAATGAAGGTATGTGAACTTGGCAACAGTTGTGACTAATGCGTCTCTCTGTGTCTGCATACCCATGACAGCTGTCACATGCACAGCATGGCGAATGCCATGTAAGCAATGATTAGTGGCTGCCCTGTCATCACTCTGGTCAAGTGTTACACTGAAGGCAGCAAGCATTGGGCCCCAACAGACTTCCACCATAAACCTCAATATGGCTGCATCTGCTACAGCATAGTAAGTAGATCTGCAGACACAAACATATAAAGAAATTAGAATGGAATGGAATGGAATAGCGAATTCCAATTCCATCGGAATAAGCAAACTTACTCTGATTTTCCTGATTTTGCCTTGAATTGTTCTTGGATGTGTCTAATAAGAGCTCCATTTGCACCCAATGGTTTTTCCTCAGTTTGTTTCCAAACAAGATTAAGTATACCATCCAACCCTAATAATCTATTAACACTGTTTGTCTGCTTGCTTTGTGGTATTGATGAAGCATCTGCTTTCATCTTAATTTCATTTTTCACAATTTGACCATAAAGAGCACCCAAATACTCTTCAGCTAAGTCCTTTCCATCATCAATCCCACGGTTGTTCCGAATAAAATCAGCTTTACTCATCTTACATATAAACAAACCAAAGCATCAAAATCAGAAAATATATATTTATAAACTGAGAATAAATAAATGGTTGAAATTGAAAATTGAAAATTGAAATCCTGACCTTATCTTTGACCATGCTGTTATGGGCATCCGTATTGAGCATAATCACAGAATATGCAAGAACATATGCTGTGTCAGCACTAGTGAAGGAATTAGGGTTGCACTTACAATATCTTTCAGCAAATTTTTCCATGATTCTGTCAATTTTTTGAGCCTCACCAGGTAATCTGAAACCCCTTAGAAAAAACCTAAGAGCCTCACCAAAATCCCTTCCATCAAAATTAAAGGAATCCACATAAGCATGCATTACTTTCAAAGAGAAATCTTCCCTTTCACCAAGATAATCACCAATCATTGTCTCATTTAAACCAGAAGTGTTTTTCAAAAACATTGCAACTGATTCAGGTGTCCCTTCAACTTTTTTGTTACTTATCAAAAACTCAATACCCTTCGAAGGCTTCCTATTGAACAGAGCAATACCTTTCTGCAATATCAAGGTTATAGTTTTAGTGCATAAATTTAAAAACCCTAACTTTAAGATAAATTATATTTATACCTGAAGTTCTATCTTGTAAGCTCTGCGTTGCTCTAGTGTAGCAGTGGAATGTTCAGAATTTGGTTCTTGATGCAAATCCAAATCAGGAAGACTTACATCATCTCCCCCTACACTCATGCTACTTTCAAGAACACTATCATTATTATCAGATGTATTGTTCTTTACACCAAATTCACCTATTCTTAGCTGTTGATCCATCCAAACTCCCATTGATTTGATGATCATAACCAAACATTTAACAGATTCAAATCTGAATGTCAGATCATGAACAGGAGACAAGGTGGTTGTGGAACCAGGTGGTGGACCTAGAGCAGTTTTCAGAAGACCATTCACAGTCCTGCAAATGTCTGACCGAATTAACAAGGTTTAAATATTGTATTTTCCATTTTAATGTTGTTAAAACATTATGTTTTGAAAAAAGAATACCTAGAAAAACATGATAACATGAGATGTTTTAGAAACTTTAACCAGTTTGTTACCTTTCAAAAATGTTTGGAGAGTCAACATCACAATCATAGTTGACAAAAATGTCGATCATAATCTGTGAATCCTGAGATACTTTATCCAGTAAATTAAGGATTGTCATCTTTTGTATGAAACTTGGCTGAAGGACATTTTCAAGAACACGGAGAATGAGCATGGGGAAAAATATCCCGATTTCTGATTTCAACACAGATCTGTATTTGCTTAGTAAGCTCTGAAATATCGCACAGAGAAGCTGAAATATTGACATGACTGAAAGTGCACTGTTCTTCAGTAAGGACAAGCAAAGGAACTGTTTGATCACGTTTAGGAACCTGTGAAGTAAGATATTGCAATCATCAAACCTAAGAAAGTTTATATGGTTAATTTATTGCTGGAAAGTAAAATAAAATAGAAGTATAAAAAACAGGCAACTGGAGGTTACATTCAAGATAATTGATTAATCATAATAGAATATTGATATTTTAGAGCTTTTACATACAGTTTTAGTTCCTTTTCCATTAAAGGCATGAAAAAGTCTACAGCTTGGTGGTTGAATTTCTTGTCCTATACCTTACTGACTCAAGGTACTAACTGAACTTATGAAAATGGCATTGTCAAAGCAACATATATTTGTTCTGATGACATGAAGTTATCAGGTAATCTTAAAGAGTGTTAAGAGGTATACAGACATTTATCTAAACATCAAAAGGTGTCCATTTAAGAGACATGCAGTTACTTGCCTCTCGTTTGTACGCCATAGTGGACCTGCATTGTCCATGATTACCTTCAATAGCTCCAGAGACAACATCTTTCCCCTCAAAAGGATCTGATCGTCAGATTGGTCCTGAGAAGAGAATTTCATCGACAGCTTGCATAAATTCTTGAAAACCATGACCCCATCATCCCTTATCTTAGAATAACCACTCAAATCCTCCTTATCTGGCAATTCAGCATGCGGAGACTCAGCTTTTTCACTGGCATTACCGTCTTGCAGTTCAGGCAACGATTTTGCATTAAGATCAGCATCGACTACGTTAGTGAAAACAACCTCGTTAATGAAGTTCTGAACAAACTGTATAGAACTCCCCTCATTAAGATTTCTATCATTGAACTCTAACAGCTCGGTAACGGATACTGTATTGAAGGTGACTAGCAGAGAATCCCCTTCTACCCTAGCGAATATGATAGCCATCATCTGAGCCAACACCGACTTTGCACAGATCTGGTTAGTTCCATTGACACCTCCAAGATATATATTATAGCATGTCTTCACAATCTGGTTAAGGCATTCGGCCCGGATCAAAACAGTGGATGATCGAACGGCTGAGAGCAAAGTTTTGAGGACTGCGAGCTCAACAGCCTCTTCGCCGAGACCACTGCACTTGCATATAGAATCAATGAGACGGAATATGAGGGAGGGGGGTTGTTCAGAGGGGTCGATCTCGCAGCGGATGAGGCGGAGGGAGAAAAGACGGAAGCAACAGTCGAGGGCGGGTTCGACGACTTTAGGAGAAGATGAATCAATGGCTAGGATGAGGGGAAGGATGAAGGATTCAGCGTCGGAGGCGGAGGAGACGCCGTATAGAGGAGTTGATGAGGAAGAATCGTCGGTGAGGGTTTCGAGCTTGTCGAGGGCGGATTTGCAGGCAGCGACGATGTGAGAGTGTTTGCGCCAGGCAGCATTTTTTATGATCTTGTCGAGTGATGGCCCCAGTAACCATCCGCAGCGGGATTGGCCGCCTAGGGTTTGAGACCCCGACGACATTGCTGTTGATGGCAGGAAGAATTCTCAAATGCGATGAGCTAAAGAAGAAGATGAAGATCTTGATTTTGGTTTTGATGTTGATGTTGTTGTTGAAGATGGGAGATTGACGATAGATGATCCCATCTGGGAATCAATTTCATTAATGAGATTGAGATTTGATCTGAATTGATACTAAACGCGGATCGCCTGTAAATTCAACCCACGCACGAAAAGCTCTTAACTTCATTTCGAATCTACTCTTCTTCTTAACTAACGCTTCCTTTCCTAAATTGATTAAATTTGTCAATAAAGAATTACTTTTGTGTCGGTTTCTTCTATAAAGTTATAGTATATTATATAAAATTATATAAAATAATATACATTTCCCCATAACGATAAAAAAAATGTTACCCTAAGCAAAAGAGGGTTTAATGGGAAAAAATAGTTATCAAAAGTGAATAAATATAGAAAAGCTTTTAATATATAAAATATAGATTATCTCATATTCATTAAAAATCACTTTTGTTCTTATTGTGTTTCTTCTTATTCTTATGTAAATGTGACACTTGCTAACTTATTTCTTGTCCATTGTGATGATGATTTTCATGTTTGGATTATTTTTATTTTTTATTTTTTTATTGTTGATTATTTATTCCATACTATGATTTGGAATTAGGTTAGAGTTTGTCCCTATTTTGTTTATGCTATATTCATATTTTTTTTATATGGTTAGTTCACTATTGCATGACATGGTTCAAACAAATTTCGAGTCTAGGCAAAGGAGGGAAAAAATGCCTCTCTAAAACGAAATATTAATAAAAATCCCCATATTTATGAAAAAAAACACATTTTAGCCTTTTAAATATTAAATCCCAAGTAAACATTCTAGTGTTATGATAAGGTGAAGGAAGTCAGAGGCGGAGACAATAAGGGGGCTGCCAGGTGCTTAGCCCCCCTAATCTCTTATCAAACTTCAGCAAAATTACAAATAAAATGAGCTCATTAGTAACCTTTAAGCCCTTGTTAATTAACTGAACCTAGTAGCCCTTCCCAATTATATAAAAAACTCATTTATTTATTATATAAAAAAACAACGAGGAAATGATTATTAAATCCTACGGCCTCCACCTATTTATCTTATTTTAATTAGCAGTTGATTATATATCCATTTCTTCATAAATAACTTTTGTTAGTTGACTATTCACTAATCACCAAGATAATATGTAGTTATTTTTACTCGTCGACAAGGTTAATTTTCAATTAAGATATCGTTTCGAGATTCGACACAATTTCAATTCTCTAATTAAGAAGATAATTTCTAATTCTTATCGTATATTTTATTTCTTATTATTTATAAATAATAATTTGATTATGTTTGATAATTTGGTTTATTATAATCATATAGTAAATTATTAGTAGAAAAAAGCATGGATTTTTTTCAAGCAATTAGAAGATGAATATGAGTCGATGTTTATGGTCTGTTGAAATTTTTTAAAAATTGATACTATGATGGTCGATGGAGCTTCTATATCGACAAAATTTTCTTTGTCAATTTTCTTTTAAAATTTAAAACTATATTATTTTATTCGGATATAACATTATATTTTAATATATTATTACGATGTGAGGGCGTCAGCCCCCGTTATTCTTAAATCTTTGCTCCGCCCCTAAAAGAAGTTGACGTAAATTTTGAGTTACCAATTCCATTTCATCAATCTTAAAGTCACAATCTTAAAAGGCTTGCAAAAGTGAGTTATGGATGAGGCATCCTTCTTCGTGTTGTGAAATTTCTCTTGAAGTTAAAGCATATGTGACATCTTTTCATTAACGAAGAACTCATGTAGCTTGTCACAAAGATCTTTGGAAGCATAATTGTCACTAGAAATGATTTGTAAGAGATTAGCATCACAAGTATAATAAAACCAAGATTTAATCTGGGAGTCAATAGCATCTCAATCCTCATTATCATCAACTTTAGGTTGAGAATTTTCGATTATATAGTTAGGAACTTTAGCACATTTGCACATGTCAATAAAGATACAACGCCGCAATTTGTATTTTGAGTCATCAACAGACAATTTAAAGCTAAATTGTAAGAACCCAAAATTTAAGAGATTTGATTTTGGGTCAATATTTGACCAAAAGGGAAAATCGGTCATTTAGATGAATTTCATGAACTGAGAAGTCGTAATCTCATGAAATTAGTCAAGATAAGTCTAAGTCGCATTTATAAGATGAGATAAGTGAGTTCAAGAGAAGAAATACAAGGGATGGTGCATTTAGGCTATAAAGGGTAAAATGGGAATTTTATGCTATTGGGGCCAAGTTTGTGACTTAATAGATTAAGATCCGTATGTAGTCTGTCAGAAGTGACTTAATGGAGTTGTAGAACTCATCCCTACCTTCGCATGGATATAAAGATCATAGAAAACTGGTTTGAAACGAAGAAGATATGAGTGTCAGAAGATTAGAGGAAAAATGTCCCAAAATGGAATGGAATCAGCTAAGAAGTTGTTGATGTATAACCACCGCAGCGTGGTTTCCAGAACGGTAAATGGATTAGAGTTTCGTCGTAAATAGAGGGCAATGTACTTTGCATCGTGGTGTGGTATATGGGTACCACATTGTGGTGGCAAAAGTAGGATGTTATTCGATAAAGGCACCATGGCTCAGTCAAAGGGAGACTGCGACCTAATAGTGCGCACCATAACACAGTAGGCATGTTGTCGTCGCACGGTTTCGCAGACCATAAAATAGATTTAAATTAGTTAAGGGCTTATTCTCGGACCAAAAACTCTCCTAAATCATTTGAAAGTTGAGGAATGGTGATTTTAGTGCTAAGATGAGCTAGAGATGATGGATTGCAAGGATTAACATCCTTTCCCCCTTAAGGTAACGATTTCTTCCTTTTATGAAGCTTTGAGCTTTAATGGTGAAATTGTTAGATTAGTTAGATTGTTTGAATTAATCGACTTATAACTCGATTTGTATGTTATTGAAAGTGTTTAAAAGCTTTTTATGTGATTTCCAAGGTGAAATTAGGGTTAACCCTAACTAGTGAGGAAGATGGATTTATGCAATAGAGTTCAGATTTTAATGAATTAGCTAATTAGGTAGTATGTGTTGCTTAATTCATCAAGGTATAACAAATTTAGAGATAGAAAATAAGATGTTATAATTATGATCAACTGAGTGATTATTTTGGTATATAGAGTTATTAAGTTATTAATAGGCTAAGACAAGTTCTAAGGAGCTTAATATGTTGTATGAATAGGCCTTGAGCAAAGAAGACAGATCAAGATGCATCAATTGGAGATTTGAAGCCAATAGTAGTTTGCCTTCACTAATTAACAAGGTGAGTTATACTCTCTCTCTCTCTCTCTCTCTCTCTTACTTAATGTATTATAATGATATGTTTTATAATCTTATGAATATATATGTATGCATGTTTATATATGGATGGTAATGTGTCAAATACCCACAAAATATTATGTAAAGATGGAATATGATTACATAAATTTTAATCTTGTAAAATGAGTAGGTATGTATGGTTAGATGTTAGTGGTATTGTGTTAAATACCCATCATATATTAGACGAAGATAGAGTATGGATGTTTGGCTAGATTCTAATGGTGTTGTGTTAAATACATATATGTTAGTAGATGAATATTTAAATTAAGTACTTAATGAATTAAGTACTAGATTGATAGTGGAAGATCTATTAATGAAATGATGAGATAGAATGCTACGAGACATGTGAGGTATAAGACTACGGGGATACCATATCACTCACATGAAAGATTATGAGAAAAATAGAAAGATGCTTCATATGGGAATGTATAAGGATGATTCCTACGGGAATGAGATTATGATTCCTTTGGGAATGAGATTATGTTTCCTTCGAGAATAAGATGATGATTCCTTCGGAAATGTAGATAAATGATTCTTGCGGGAATGAGATTATGTGTGGTTGGAGAAGGTTGAGAAAGGGTTCCATGAGTGGAACAAGGTAAGAGGTTTCTTTAAAGAACCTGGATATAATCTGCCATGGATTAAGTGTAGATGATCCATAAGGGATCATAGTGATCCACGAGGGATTCAAGAAAAGAAAAGTGACAAGGATCTATGATGGATCAAAGTAAGGGACTAAGTCCGAATCATTGTACACCGGTAAGTCAGAACTATGTTGTCCCCCTATATGATAGATGAAATATCATATATGTGAAAGACCCAAAACTTTCATACTAAAGACATTGTTATTCCAAAACATGCTACATGCATATTCATAAAACAATATTTTACATTGATAGTTTATTTACATAGACTGGATACAAACCGACTATTAAGATTTTTAAAGAGTTTTATATATATTACATACTTCCCCAGGAATACAATACAAAAGCTATAATATTATCTATTCTACATCTTCTATCAGTACATGACTATACTGAATGTTTATCACCTGCAATAGTTTAAACATTGAGAGGGATAAGCGGGTGACGCTTAGTGAGTTCATTAACAGTTACAATATAACATTCTGCCATATACATATCAATATGACAGAAGCAAAAAGGGACAAAGAACAAGAAAGACAAATGAGTATCATATGACAGGCTTTCCATATCAACGATCAATCTGATTCAAAGATTTGTAATCAATGAGACATAACAATTTCAATACTTGATATACATCAATAAGACTTCAGCCCAAGTGGCGCAGAAAATATAATTTCAGAATATCATTTTGCTAAAATACATAGGCTTTCAACCCTATCTTAGCATTCTATCAATGCCAAAGTGATGCTTATGTCATACACTTCATGGCAAAAGGCTACATACTTGTACCCAAGTGATGTTTATGTCATACACTTCGTGGTATAAGGTATAGCTCATTATCATAATAACATCGGAAAGCACATTGAACATATAACACATAACATACAATTGTCCCTATATTGAACTCACCGTGAAATAACCGGGGATTAAATGATAATTTGCGCAGCACTTCGGCTTTAAATATAACTTCCTGTGACGAAACCGGGAATTTTAGTTGAAAACCGGCCTTACGCGGGCAGAGTTTCGACTTGAAAATATAATTTTCTCGGGAACTTCAGAGCGTCGGGACTTGCTTCGAGTGTCGGGAATGATATCGGGACTTCCGGGGGGGGGGGGGGGGGGGTGTTAGGGTAAATTGGGAGAGAGTATAAGGTGTAAAAGTGTGAAAGAAATGAGATTTTCTAAACAAAAATATGGCAGCCTCGATTT